TATCTTTTCTGTTGAATCTCTTGAGTTTTCCCCAAGGATATTGTATGTATTTGATAGGCCTGAGTATCACAGAGATGTTAGTTTTCTCCAAATTTAAACATGGGTTTAATGCATTTCCAATAAAATTTTCACTTGACAATACAGTTAAATTCATATGAAAGACCAAATAGTAAGAGAATAGGCAAAATGTTTTTTGATTGGGATTACATTGAATCTTTAGAACAACTTAAGGCAGAATTGACATTGTTAAAGTATAATTTTCATGAAGGTAAAATCATCACTTGCAGGCAAATATAAAATAATCATGTGTAAAATATGTTATTTAACTCATTAATTAATCAGGGGACCAGAAAGATATATGATCAGTTCAAAGAGCATCTGACAAACTAGGGCATTTATAGGCAATTTAACAGAGTGTTAGGATAACATTGCTAAATTAGATATAAGACAGTTTAATGTCCAGCAGATCATAAATCTCTGGGGTCATCTGTTCCACTAGAGAGAAATTATTATTATCTTTTTTTAAAGTAGGCTGCATGCCCAATGTGGGGCTTGCACTCACGACCCTGAGCTCAAGACTCAGAGGCTCTACCAACTGAGCCAGCCAGGTGCCCCAGAGAGAAATTATTTTTGTCTCCACCCCACAAAAGCCTACAAGTTCACAAGTAACTTCACTAAGTCTGAGACCTTTAATCAGTAGCAAAAAAAGGAGAAATCCATCCTGCCTCCTCTTTCCTAAATAAAGCCATGCCCATTTGTTTACATATTTTCTATGGTTGCTTTTATAATATGCCAGAGTTGAGTGGTTATAACAGAGACCGTATGACCCATAAAGCCTGTTATATTTACTCTCTGGCCCCTTACAGACAAGTTTACTAAATACAGGCCTACACAATATTTGGATAATGCATCTTAACACGTATTTTCTGAGGTTTACCCCAAAATATTTCATGTTTTTGATACTATTAAAAATGATAACTTTTGAAAATTTCAAATTCTAAATGTTCATTGCTGGTCTTTAGAAAATATAATTTTCATATATTGACCTCATATTCCGAGACCTTGCTAAACCTGCTAGTTTTATATCTCTTTAAAATAGATTCTTTAGTGTTTTACTGCATTGATAATCATGTCATCTGTGAATAAGACAATTTTCTTTCTTTCTTTCCAGTTGGCATGCTTTATATTTTTTTTGCCTTACTGAATTGGCTAGGACCTCCAGTATAATGTTGAGTAGAAGTAGTGAGAATGGACATTTTTACTTTTTCCCAACCAAGGGGGGAAAGCATTCAGCCTATCATCATCACATAGGATATTAGCTATAAGTTTTTCCTAGATGTGCTTTACCAAGTTAAGGAATTTCCTTCTATTTCTACTTTACTGAGAATTTTTATCAGGAATAGATGTTGAACTTTGTCAAATGCTTTTACTGCATCCATTGAGAGAATCAGATTTTTTTTAATGGGTTGATATGGCAAATTACATTAATTTTCGAATGTTGAACCAACCTTGCATTGCCGAGATAAACCCCGTTTCTTCTTGATGTATTATCCTTTTTGTTAATTACTGGATTTGACTTGCTAACATTTTATTGAGGGCTTTCGTGTCTAGAAAAAAAATTTTTTTAAAAAGATCAACTTGCACATCAAATCCCTAAAACACAATATAAGGGTACATTAATATTTATAATCATTCTACATTAATGAAAAGTATGGTACTAACTCATCATTAGAAAGAAAGATCAGAGGACAAAATGGAGAAACAGACCCTCGTATATATGAAAGGTATATTGTAAAGGTTCTATTAGTATTGTAAAGGTCACAGTTTTCATAGGGATACTAAAAATGTTGGGCTTTTTGTTTTAATCTTTGAATCACCATCTGTGATTTAAACTATACATTGTATAATGTACTTTATTTTTTTTTTAAGATTTTTTATTTTTTATTAGAGAGAGAGTACAAGCAGGGGGAGTGGCAGGCAGAGGGAGAGGGAGAAGCAGGCTCCCTGCCAAGCAAAGAGCCCAATGCGGGACTCGATCCCAGGACCCTGGGATCATGACCTGAGCCGAAGGCAGACGCCCAACCGTGTGAGCCACCCAGGTGCCCCGTATAATGTACTTTGAATAACCATGAAAACATGTCACGGTTATCTCGTACACTTCCATTGCATTTGACCTTAAACCCTCAATAAAGGTTTGTTGAATAAATGAACTAGATTAATGTTGTTTTTCAAAAATCCAAAGGGTAGGATAGTGTTTCCTCTTTTCCTCTATATTTTCCTATCGGTAGCATTGGAAACAAGTGTTTCTGGGATAATCTAAAGATTTTAAACACTTATTAGACTAATGCTCTACTCATCACATTGTCACATTGGAGGCTGAACTTTCTACGACTTTGAGGTAGAGTTTGGATGGCCTTTTTTTTGTTGGTGATATGGAACATAGAAATGCTGTACAGCAGAACAGGGAAGCTTCCCTCTGTCAGCTGTATTGATTTGGTGGAGATTGAGGACCTTCACACCTGCAATGCAAAGTTCTCAGAGAGGTTAGAAACTCCTGACTTTGGAACTCCAGGTTTAATGGCCACACCAACTCTCACGTTATTCATTAAAAAGAGTGAGACTTTTCTGGATTATAGAGGAAATCTCATTAATTTGGATTTTACTGTTGTAGAGTTTTGTTTTTTGTAATTCTGACATGAAGACTGCACACAATTTACTTTTCTCCGTGAATGTCCATTACAAATTAATCTTCTGAATTTATTTATTCAGGTTCAGCTTAACAGATATACTACTTGACAGTTACTTGTGTTTAGTGTAGTTCATGTTACTGACCATATTGAATAATAGACCAGCAACTCTTTAAAAACTGTTGTTGCTTTCAAAGATTTTTCGCGCATTCAGACTGGTCTTTTCCCAGTTACTTTGTATCCAGGAAGTGTTGCTATTTCTTAGATATTTGCCACTGATAAGTACACTTTTGTTTAACTGAGCACATTGCCGTTGTAGCCTACCAAGGAAGAAGTTTTTATCATGAGGAGGTGACAACAGGCAGTTAGAAGATGGGAGAGTGTGTTTGGATGAGTGGTGACAAAAACCTAACACCTAGGGATGAGTTATCTCAACCATCAGAAATCCAGGATGAGTTGTATATCCTGGGCCTGGGTTTTATAATCCATCACTAGCTTGGGTGGTAGATATTTCAACAATGGGGAGAGTTAGCACATAAACATAGCTGCTAAAATGACAAGTGATTTCTTAGCGTACCAGGAAAGGGAATGATAGTGGACTTTTTTAGCAATTAAGTGACCAAAAAATTGTGGAGGTTTGGAAAACAGACTGAAGTGATTTGGTCCACAGTCAGTAAAACAGTTTTAGTTGGAAAAACTGTAAAGGTTTAATTCGTTTTGTTTACTGAAGGGTTGATGTGTTCAGGGTTGAGTTAAAAAAAGAATCAGAGTTTGAAAATCAGAGTCAATGATATTTCTTCTTTGTAGCAAAAGGTACATATTTTGGTTTTTCTTTTTTTGTCTACATTTTTGTAAGACCATTTTTTACTGTATATTTTTTAATATAAAGAGGCAAATTATTTATACTTCTAAAGGTTCTCCCCCCCTCCACAAAAAGTGAGTGCTGCTATTTGTTGTATTATGAACACTCAGTATCTGCTCTTAACATTTAATTCAGTGTGGGAGGTGGGAATTCTACCATTTAACCACCAATGCAAAGGAATGTTATAAGGGACTTTTTAGAACAAATGTGATTATTTATAATAATCTTATATAATGAATCATTTGTTGAGTTATGTTATTATAAGTAAAAACTATAATTAAGTAGATATAAAAATTCATTAAGCTTTACACTTCAGACTTGGCACTTTGAAGTTGTATTTCAGTTAAAAAAAAAAAACCTTAATTAGGAACGGTGGTCAGGTTTAGGAATTGTGTGTGATAATTTGGGGGAGTTATACACTTCATAATTTTATGGAGAGGATGTTCTTCACTTTAAAAAGTTCCTCAGGGACTGAAGCTTGTGGTTCATTACAAATAGGGAGAATATTTATAAACTCTGCCTTCAAATCTCCATATAGACCAGTAGGCACAATTGAAGTCCAGCAGCTGAAAAAAAGAGTATGTTAAGGGCATGATTTTCAGTGTTCACTTCAAAGCAGAGATGCAGTATTCATTAATCTTACTCTTTGATTGTGATGTTAGCTCTTTTGTTACTGTTGAGTTTACCTTGGCCCAAGTGCTGGCAATCAAGTGGTACAGTGAAGATGACTGGAAAACATTAACTTGTTATTGTTAGTTGACATCGTGCTGAGGTTGATGGGAAGTCAAGTTTATAAATAGCCTGGTCTATGCACTGATTTAGAAATCTGCTCAGTTTCACGGATAGATCTCATCATACGGGCCGTTCATTGTTTACCTTTGAAGCTTTTTATTGAACAGAGAATGGATTCATCCTTTTGAAAAATGTGATACCGAACATAGCTGTGATAACGTCCCCACTGAAACTTGTTTTCAGTGTTAACTTCTTGACTAAATTGGCTTCATATTGTTCGTTCAACTTTATTTTTCTGGATATTATATAAATGGTAATCTTGCACTTTTTAGAAAGGGCCCTACATTCTCTTGTTTGATATAATTCATTTATATTTTAATCTAGAATGGCCTTCATGTTTTGAAGACTTATGTTTTGAAATAAGCACCCCTCAACATTTGCACTGTTCAGCATGAAACTTCTGTTAGTTTCTGAGAAGTGTTCCTGTGTGTCCTTGCCTGAAAGTAGGCCTGCCACTCGAATTTTTATGCTGCACTATCAGATGCAAATCATTAACTCTGAGATCTCCCCAGCATGACGGTGGAAAGAACACAGGGTCAAAGCAGTAATCCTGAAAGGAAGTTGACTCTATTATGAGAAATCTAGGCAGTCAGACAAGGCATAACAATAGTTTCTAGAAATCTGGCCAAATCACTAAATAATTGCCTTCCTCTTTCAGGCCAAGAGGCAAACCCTGAGTTTGCATTCTCATTCTCATTAACCTGATGGTGAGGGAAGGATTCAGTGCTACTCAGGTAGGCTCTAAGATACGGAGTTTTTAGGGTTTTGTTTTGTTTTTCTTTGATTTGGGTGGTGCCTTTACTGATCAATCAGTAAGGTTTTAATTAAGTTCCAATTAAATGCTCCATAGTGTACTAATTAAGCATTGAGTGAATATGAAACAGTATAACTTCATCCCCAGAATCTTGCAGTATGACCAGCAAGATACAACCAACAAATCTGAATCTGAAAATTTGGCATGCAGCATCATATAGTATTTAATTTTAAGTCAAATTATCAGCATGGGTAGAGTAGGTAGAGTCTTCATAACTAAACTCTTAATAATCTAGGTCATCTGGCTACTGTGTCTTCTGACCTCTGGCTGTTAGGACAGTGACAAAAAAAAAAACAAACAGGAAGATCTGACAGGTTGTCAGACGTTTCTCAATTTCACCTGACACAAGAGTTACTGAGGGGGCACTGTTTAAAATACAGGTTCCTGGTCTCCTGTCATGAAAACTTTAAGTGTGTAGATCTGAGAAAGGACCCCAGAATCTGCCTTGTTAACATGCCACACGCATGATTCTTATGATCAGGCAAGTTTGGAAACCATTGGGTTGGGAGTGGAAGAAGAGGGATTCAATGTCCAAAGCTGAATTAATATAAGAGATGAGTGATTCTTATGTCGGGTCGAGGAGATAACAGAGATTTATGTTGGCAGTGATGGCTGTTAGACGTCAGTGGGGCATTTGCCACCGAGATTGAAGGACCATGAAGAGCAGTAAGAAAATCTTGAAATTTCTAAGCTCAACTATTTAATGGGCCAAAAGTGTTCTGGATTTCATTGCATCACTTATTTGTACCCCAGACCAGTTCCACTCTAGGAAGGGTGCTCCTCCCGGTCATTCATGTGGAGAGCAGGCAGGCAGACATGAGTAAGGAGGAAGCATTTGAAATTGTAGCTTGGCAGATGCCAGGAGAGACCCTTCCAAGCTTAAAGGGCAACTGGCAAGACTGCCCAAAGGCAGGAATGGAGGAAGCAGGAGACCGAGTGAACTGTGTAGTAACACAGTGTTTATTGGTCAAGATCAAGGGGCATGAAGTAAGGGTTGTGGGAAACCAGGGCAGAGATAACACTAATAACTGTGTATGACACATCTTCTAAGTATCGAGGTTAGCCGTGCACACTAACCCTGGGTCTTCATGGCGTCCTCACAGTGCCCTCACCCAGGGCAATAGAGGGAGGTTGGTTGTATTGTTTCAGTTTTACATCTAGAGCCCTGGTGGTGTTGGGAGAGGTGTCTTTGTCCCAGATTGTGAACTAGAGAAGGAAGTAAGAACCAGAGCCAATAGGTTTTCTGACCTGTGGTGTTAGGTTGGGTAAGAGTTGGGGGGATCGGGCGCCTGGGTGGCTCAGATGGTTAAGCGTCTGCCTTCGGCTCAGGTCATGATCCCAGGGTCCTGGGATCGAGTCCCGCATCGGGCTCTTTGCTCCTTGGGAGCCTCCTTCTCCCTCTGCCTCTCTCTCTCTGTCTCTCATGAATAAATAAATAAAATCTTAAAAAAAAAAAGAGTTGGGGGGATGGAGAAGAGCAGGAAAAGACAATCTTGATGTTGAGTTGAGTTGGTGAGTTTGTGAAGTTCTAAACAGATTTCAGCATTGGTAAATGAAAAAAAAAGTTATCAACAGGTTAAAAAAAGTGGTGTGCAGTGGGGGTACTGAAAGGGGGCTGAAAATGTTGGGAAGGTTTTCAGCTGTGAGCCGAGAAAGGAACTATTGAATGAGAAGCAGAGGTGATGGTTCACAAGTGTGCGAACATAAAACAAATGTTTGTGCCTCCTTCAGATGACAGAGGTGGCATACTCTACGGACCATCTAACTAGTCTCAACCACCAACCACATTTTCCCTGGTAAGCATAATGCTTTAAAAATAGTCTGCAATGGAGGGCGCCTGGGTGGCTCAGTTGGTTAAGCGACTGCCTTCGGCTCAGGTCATGATCCTGGAGTCCCTGGATCGAGTCCCACGTCGGGCTCCCTGCTCAGCAGGGAGTCTGCCTCTCTCTCTGACCCTCCCCCCTCTCATGCTCTCTGTCTCATTCTCTCTCTCAAATAAAT